TTTACCATAATTGTTTATTTATTTTAAATACCAAAACATTATATACAATTGATTTTGATTCATTTACAATAGCTATAATAATAGCAATCATTTATAACAAATATGATACATTTGGAAATTAACAACTCATTAGATTTTTTTTGTCTATCATTATGTAAAATAATCAATAACCATTATTTTATAGACTAAATTATTTAGTTACTATTGACATATAAATATATGATGATCTAAAATTGCTCATATATACTAACTGAATAGATTAAGATGCGTTCACTAACTACATGTTAAGATTTTATGATTTTCAACCGCATATAGAATATATAATATGTTAATCTTTTATCACATTGGTTAATACTTAATACACATCTCAATTCATGTCAATCGCGGTAGAAGAACGAAACTAATATTCAATTATATATAATTTTGAATGTGCAGACCTAAGTGGCAGACTCGCATGATTCGTGATCCTATAAGGCAAATTTCTATGCTTCGTCATTTGGCTTGTATTAATTTACTTTCAATCTAAAAATAAATAGGCTTAGAACATTCATAAATATACTAGATATTTATGACCATTTTTAAGAGCATTACTATGTTGTAATATCATTTTCTATTTTGTAAATAATAAAATTATTTAAAGTACTTTAACTACAAAGTAGTTATATGATATAAGTTCAAAAAAAGGTGGTAGTTTCCCATGTAGCTTTGGTGAAAGGGAAAGCCCAATAACGAATTATTATAATAAAGATGACATGTCGTATAAGTGACGGGTGTCATTTTAAAACATAAATAACAATATAGTTTTTTTAAAAAAATATTTATTTTTTTTTCTTTTTTAATTTTAAATATAATGTTTTTAACAAGCACTCGTACAATATACGGACATTATACTAGTTTGTAACTTATCAAAATGCAACCAACAATGGATTATATGATGGCCAATAAGTTATTTTACCATAATATCACATATATAAATAGCAAATACTTATTGGTAAGTTATGTTACCATAATATCACATATGTAAATAGCAAATACATTAAACTCTATCTTCTAATATATAACCTTTATTTTTCCCATGCTTGCATGAGCTTGTCACTCAAAAATTAATAAAAATCAATACCATTTCAAAATAAGACATCCAAATTGGAATCCTAACAAAAATACTCTTCACATTCCAAAAAATCTCTCTATTTACAGGAAAATGTTACATTCCGTTATAGAATCATTCCGTTGGAATTTATAACCATGATGCATATGTAGATTAGTATAGCATGTGCATTTAATGACTTCCTCAAATTCAATTATTCTTTTTCGTTTTTTTTTTCCTGATTGAAATCACTACAAAAAAATTGTTATATTTCAACAAAAAATTCTATGGTAATATATTCCAATGGAAATTTCAACAGATATTGCAATTATAAAGCTTCTGTTGGAATTCCAATAGAAATTCTAACGAAAATATTTCGTTGGAATGTATTTTTCATTGGAATTTGAGATGTAATTTGATTATTCCAACGACTATATTTCCAACGACTTTTGACCGTAGGAATATGCAATTTCTGTTGGAATTTTTATTTTCATCATGTTGGAAAACATACCGTTGGAATCGTCAAAATCCAATAGAAATTCTAATAGAAAATTCATTCCAACGGAATATTATTGTTGAAATTATTCTAACGGGAATAATAACATTGAAATATTCATAGAAATTATCATTAAAATTCTATTGGAATATATTTCTGTATTTATGTAGTGAATATATTTCCGTATTCATGTACTCTGTGCGCGGCCTTATAAATGGCAAAAATGCTACAGATGTACCATTTGCGCACACGCGGACAAAATATATCAGCTATGGCCGCGCTGTATGGCGTAAGCACTAGCCTACCTAACAATAATGGCGCCACCCAGGTTTTCAAGCTCATCATCGCCTGTATTTTCATTCAAACCACAACCCACTTATATATGGAGCACTTCCTAAATTCTTTTGAATTCAGTTCCTAAATTCTGTTTTGGTTCCAAAAAAACCCTGCATGGCTGTGCGGATTTTTACATAGCCTGCAAAGGCCGCCGCCGCCGCCCGATGCTATTTTCCGATTTCCGTACGTAGGGTTTTTGAGGTGGATTTTGGGCGAGAGCCGTCGCGGTTCAGTTTTCCGTGTTCTCGTGATTATTTTATTCATTTTTTTCACTCTTTTTGGTTACGGAAATCATTTGGTGCTGCTCTGTGGTAAGCAATTTGTATGGGTTGATTTTTATTTTTCTTGCGATTACTGTGTGAGGTTTTAGTATTCAAATGCGATTTTGGTTGCTTGATTCTGACTTGAAAATCTCTCTGCATGCTCGGTTGATTGTGTGCTTTTCTCTTATTATCATTTTTTTTTTCAAATTCTGATGAAATTTGCAATCCAAGTTTGTGACTTTGTTCTGTTCCCTCTCTGTGGAGTTGTGCTGTGAATATGGCCTTTATTTTTTTATTTTTTTTTGTTGCCGAGCGTTTGTTTGTGTACGAACACACGCACGCTGCAACTTTGGATGCTTTCATCAATTTGTACACGAGTATCAAAGCAGGATGGTTTATGGTAGACCCCTCTTTTCACACTTCTGTGGATCCCCTTTTCTTTGTTATCCCTTTCGCTGCCTGTCCTTATCTACTCAAAGTTTTTGATTTTTATATACGCAAAGCAAATTCCCTGTTGATATCAACATCCATGTGAGAAAAGAAACTAAAAAAAAACATAGATTAAAGTTGGATAATACTGATATAATAATTTTTCATCTCCAAGTGTATTTTTCCATGTGTATATTACGATTTCATCATTAGTGATATGCTCGAGAGAGATCTTTTGTTGTGGGCACTTGTCACTTGTCAGTCCTTAGAGTGTCATGCTTAAGAAAGTATTTCTTGTCAGTACTTCTCAATTTTTGCTAATCAAAATGCAGGGCAATTGCTCTCTGGCTCAGCTTAGAGTTTGTGTACTGCTTAACCCGTCGATATGCCTGGGAACAAGTTCAACGATGACGAAAAAGTCCTCGATACGCGTGTCGGGAGGCTCTTGAGGGAGAGGGAAGTCAGGGAACTGAGAAGGAGCAACAGAACTCCTTCCTTTGCTGATGGGTTCGATGGCTGGCGAGGGATTGAGGCACCCGAAAACAACGTCTCGGGGGCTTCATCCTACGTGGAGCAGTACATAGAAGCAGCTGTACAAGCACTTAATGAAGGGTGGGATAAACCTGAAGGCAGGCCTATAAAGCAGAGACTGTTAGTTGTTGCTAATAGACTTCCGGTTTCTGCCGTTAGGACAGGTGAGGAGTCTTGGTCGTTGGAGATAAGCGCCGGTGGTCTAGTCAGCGCTCTTCTTGGTGAGCTCTTTCTTTTTTTTTTTTTCAGTTCTGCTTATTAAGCTNTTTGACAAACAAAGAGCATATTTGGTGATTCTGATTGTATTGCTTGCTGTTTAGTTTGACTGTAGTAACTGAACTTTTTTCGTTTTTCAATTTGTTTACTCAGAGGTGCATACCTGTTTTCCTTGATGAGGAGATTGTTCACCAGTACTACAATGGATATTGCAACAATATATTATGGCCTCTTTTCCACTATCTTGGGCTCCCACAAGAAGATAGACTTGCAACAACCAGGAGTTTTCAGTCCCAATTCGCTGCGTACCAAAAGGCGAACCAAATGTTTGCTGACGTTGTTCACAGACACTATGAAGAGGGTGATGTCGTTTGGTGTCACGACTACCACCTAATGTTCCTTCCGAAATGTCTGAAGGAATACAACAACGAGATGAAAGTTGGGTGGTTTCTACACACTCCCTTTCCATCTTCTGAAATCCACCGAACTCTGCCATCTCGATCTGAACTGTTACGTGCAGTTCTAGCTGCTGATTTAGTTGGGTAATACTTTTTCGCACTCTATTTTTTTAATCATTTTCAGCATTTTTCCGTAGTTTGTATAGAAGATTTATCAGTATCAGAATTGTCTTACATGTTTGTTACTGGATAACGAACTAGTTGCTATCAGAGTATTCTAGAAATTAAAAGTGGAGATTTTGATTCATTTTAACAAAATTTCTCTTCTGTCTTCTGCTCTTATGTGTTAGAGTTACATCTCATGACTGTGTTTAGTGTTTTCAAATTCTATTTTATGACCTTCCTGTCCACTAGTCATAAAAATTTGTATGTTGATCAACAAACGATCAATGGCCCATGAAGAACAAAACATATAGTTGAATCGTGTGTATAACTACCTTTCTCTTCGCATTCTCCTCATAATCTGCTTAACTTATTATTATTGCAAATTCGCAATCATCTTTAAGTTCTTGTAATTTCTTTTTATGTGCCAAAAGTCTGACTTTCTTTATATCAATGGCTAGCATCTCTTGGTGCTATGCATTGTTACTATTAGTCTATTACCTGATTTAATACATTCTGATCATTTCATGTTGCGTCATCTCTATCATGTATCGAACTTTCTTATCATCATCAGTTTTGTTTATTTCTAGTTTCCACACGTATGACTATGCGAGACATTTTGTAAGTGCATGCACCCGTATTCTTGGACTGGAAGGTACTCCTGAAGGAGTTGAGGATCAAGGAAAACTAACTCGTGTGGCTGCTGTAAGTTCTCGTGAATTTAATTGGATATTCCTTTTCTTGATATTCAACATCCGCTTTATGGTTGTGATGTATGCCAATAGCCAAGAAGGATCTATGAATTACCGTAAATCATCACATGGCCTCACATGTTCGTTTCTATTTACTTTGTAAAAGTTCCCTATAGGAATTGATTCAGAAAGGTTCATCCGTGCCCTTGAAGTTCCTCAAGTCAAGGATCACATTAAAGAATTAAAAGAAAGGTTTTCTGGAAGAAAGGTTCGTCAGCTTTGTCTGTCCTTAGTTCTATGTTTGCAAAGTGTGCTGGAAATTGTCTCAGTTAATTTATGGACATTTTATGGTTGGTTAGGTCTTGGTCCTTTTACCTAATCATACCTGTAAAATTTAGAGAGAAGGGACAGATTACTTCCCAACCAATCTGATAAAACTTTTAGTTGTTCAGTCTTGAGCAGAGATTGACACAACTCAATTGATTTCATGCATGTAGAGTAATTTGCTTGACCTATCTCACATGGACTTCCTGATTTTGGTTATTTAGTTCGAAGCTTATATTCGTACAGGTAATGCTTGGTGTGGATCGTCTTGATATGATAAAAGGAATCCCGCAAAAGATACTGGCATTTGAGAAATTTCTGGAGGAAAATCCATACTGGCGTGATAAGGTTGTTTTGCTGCAAATTGCTGTGCCAACAAGAACCGATGTTCCTGAATGTATGTTCTTAAGATAGCTTGATCATTTTTTTACTTCCATATATCTATGTTTGCTTACTGCATATTGACATATGATACAATTTATATTTTTCTGATATTTATAGATCAGAAACTTACAAGCCAAGTTCATGAAATTGTTGGGCGTATCAATGGAAGATTTGGAACTTTGACTGCTGTCCCAATTCACCATCTGGTTAGCATTTACTTTAGCAGGCTTCTGAGAACTGTATCCATAAATGCATAGGGCTTAAGTATTGAATTTCCCCCTTTTGTTGAATATTTGACAAATTTAGCACAGGATCTCATATGGAAGACCAGCATGTAGGGAAGTTCCCACTTCTAGTTTGAAGCTGGGTTTTTATTTCATTGTCTTTTACTGTGCCTTATGTACTAAAAATTTCTATTAAAAATTTATACTGAGACAAAGGAATTTAAATTAAGTCCATTGGACTACATGCACTTCTAAACATACAAACTATAGAATGTGCTAAAATTACTAGGAAAGTCTGTACTTTGTGTTCTCAGTTTTCTATTGCTTTTTCTAAGGGCATGGCAATCATCTATGATATCTAATGCAGAAAGGTTCTAGTTGAAATTTGGATGAACACCTTTTGAGGTATCTGAAGCATGTCACTGTTTTCATGCAGGATCGTTCTCTTGACTTCCATGCCTTGTGTGCTCTGTATGCTGTCACAGGTAATGAAAGCTCGTCTAAACATATTTTCCTAGTTATTCTTTTATTTTCTATTTATGGTTTTTTCCTTCTTATCTGAAGTTTCTGCCCATTTTCTAAGTAAATGAGTTTATACATTGAACTAGTCACGTCTATGCGGGATGTAATAATATTGATATAAGATGAAACTGAAGCAATTTGTTGGCTGGTTGTTCCTTAACTCATCAGATGTAGCACTAGTCACGTCTCTGCGGGATGGGATGAATCTTGTAAGCTATGAGTTCGTGGCATGTCAAGATTCCAAAAAAGGAGTCCTCATCCTCAGTGAAGTAAGTATTGTGCTTTTGCATATTGTCGGCAGACATTATGATTCTTTTAGACCCACAGTAGTTTTTATAGTGTCTGGAGAAGTAACAAACCTGTGCACATGTTTGAAGTTCCTACAATCCTAAGGCACCATTATTTTTTTCTCTCAATTGATCAAACTTTGAATAGCTGTTGAATGTATTATTTTATTGTGTGATAAGGTTTCTTAATTAAGCATTTTCTTCTTCTTTCGTGTCCAAATTCTGCTTGTAACACTTTTTTTCCCACTATCATTAATTAGAATAGTCTATCTTTTATCCACATTTTCATTTGTGTTTCCCCTCTGTAATGTACCCTTTTTGGTGCATTTAGTTTGCTGGGGCTGCTCAGTCTCTTGGAGCTGGAGCAATTCTGGTAAATCCATGGAATATCACAGAGGTGGCTGCTGCAATAGGCCAAGCTCTAAATATGCCTGCTGAAGAAAGAGAAAAACGACATCGCCATAATTTCGAGCATGTCACAACTCACACTGCTCAACAATGGGCTGAATTCTTTGTAAGGTAATGGACAATTGTGAAAGTTCCTTTTGAATCTTCGGAGTTTTGGGCATGATGTTCATAGCCGAGTGAACTTTTCTAGAAAGTTCTCTGGTTACTAATGATATTAGAGGGATAACCTCAATAATAAGCTTTCTTCATATGGGTCTTCTCTAAGGTGCACGCGTATTATTTTCCCCTTCTCTATTAAAATGCAGTTTGCTTAAGGATTTCTTGTTTTTGGTATTGAGACTTATTCTCGGGTTAATTGATCTGGTACTCAGGGTTCAGGTTTCTTAGTCTCCCTAGGTATTTAAAATGGAAATATAGTGGTGTTTAAACTTCTAGGATTTGAAAAGATGCTTGTTTTATTTTATTCTTTTATGGCTTTGCTTAATTTTCATCTAGAGATCTACCTGCATAGTGAACAGTCTTTGTATATGAAACTGATTGATGTGTGACCATGGAAAATTAAAATACACTACTTATTGTTGCAGTGAATTGAATGATACAGTTATAGAAGCACAGCAGAGAATAAGAAAAAATCCACCCCCACTTGTATTCAGTGATGCAATCAAGCGTTTCTTGCAGTCTAATAACCGGTTACTTATACTGGTATGATCTATTATATTGTTGACTTGACATATATTTCATGTCAAAATGAGTGAGTAGATTTTTTTGTGTCATCATCTTGTTGGGTGTTAGAAGAACTCATTGGTATTCTGATATAAAATTATGTGTGGAAGTGAAGTTTTATGCTGAAATCATTTGAAAACTACATGGCAGCTTTATGATTTTACTTAAACTAGTAAAGTGCACGTGCGATGCACGTGGCGACGAATGTTTTTTACCGATTAAATTTAGTAAGATAAATTAATTAATTTATTACACATATGATTGCAGGAACAACATAAAATGTAGAATAAATAAACTTTTCATTCATTTTATTTTAAATTAAAAGATTTTGTCGTAATATAAGAAGATTTAAATATCATATTACAACTCCAACAAAAATATATGAAAAATGAGTTCCTAATGAAAAAACAATAAATGACTAAATAAAGACATAATGTATATTATAGATGCATGAGTTCTTTTATTTATTCATGTTAGATTCAAGAGTCATTTTCTTTTATTTTGGTTTTAATTTTCTCATAAGAAACATTTATACTCGTTGAATTCTAATGCATCAATAGTATTGCAAATTCTTCTTAATTAATTTGGCAAAACGTCTGTTTTATTCCACACTTCGAAATACTTTAGCCAAACATATAGTCAAACTTCATGATTGTATGATCATTATAAGGTATTTCTACTAATAGTTCATAAGCGATAAGCATCTCTGTGAAATAAACAATTGTAGCATTAAATTTCTTGATATTTGTGTCATTAAAATTCTTGATATTTCTATTACACACTGTAAAAAGTACTACATTTCTCTCTCTCTCTCTCTCTCTCTCTCTCTCTCTCCCCTCTCTCTCCACATAGACAAATTGGTACTTACCCCATGAGGTGAGAACGAATTTCATCTCTAAATAAAATTTGATTTTCCAAAATCATGTACTTCTCTGAATATGCTAAATTATTTTTTTGAAATCATCACACATTACATGAAAATATGTACTCTAAAAAAATTGCGCGTCTGATCGAGCACATTACACAGTTATGATTGTAAATATTCTTATCAAAAAGTGACAACTTATTCAACATCCAAAAATATTTTGATCAGAATCAAACATTCCCTTTTCAGTGTTATTAATTTGGAAGATAGATACCTTACATATTCTTTTGGATTTGGATTATTTATATGTCTAATAACATTTATTGCATTTATTGTCCAATCTTTTGTATCATAACTAATGCTTAAAAAAATTCAAGATAAAGATCTTTTATTGATTCTTCAATAATAACAAAACAAAACAAAACAAAACAATGAGACAATGTTGAGAAGTATTTGTCAAAATATTTCAGATTTAAATATCATACTACAACTCCAACAAAAATATATGAAAAATGAGTTCCTAATGAAAAAACAATAAATGACTAAATAAAGACATAATGTATATTATAGATGCATGAGTTCTTTTACTTATTTATGTTAGATTCAAGAGTCATTTTCTTTTATTTTGGTTTTGATTTTCTCATAAGAAACATCTATACTCGTTGAATTCTAATACATCAATAGTATTGCAAAATTCTTCTTAATTAATTTGGCAAAACGTCTGTTTTATTCCACACTTAGAAATACTTTAGCCAAACATATAGTCAAACTTTATGATTGTATGACCAATAGTTCATAAGTATCTCTGTGAAATAAACAATTGTAGCATTAAATTTCTTGATATTTGTGTCATTAAAATTCTTGATATTTCTATTACACACTGTATGAAGTACTACATTTCTCTCTCTCTCTCTCTCTCCACATAGACAAATTGGTACTTACCCCATGAGGTGAGAACGAATTTCATCTTTAAATAAAATTTGATTTTTCAAAATCATGTACTTCTCTGAATATACTAAATTATTTTTTTGAAATCATCACACATTACATGAAAATATGTACTCTAAAAAAATTGTGCGTATGAACGAGGACAATACACAGTTATGATTGTAAATATTCTTATAAAAAAGTGACAACTTATTCAACATTCAAAAATATTTTGATCAGAATCAAACATTCCCTTTTCAGTGTTATTAAATTGAAAGATAGATACCTTGCATATTCTTTCGGATTTGCAATATTTATATGTCTAATAACATTTATTGCATTTATTGTCCAATCTTTTGTATCATAACTAATGCTTAAAAAAATTCAAGATAAAGATCTTTTATTGATTCTTCAATAATAACAAAACAAAACAATGAGACAATATTGAGAAGTATTTGTCAAAATATTTCAGATGAGAAGAATTTGAATTATACTATATTATGATACTCTTAGTCATCTGTTAACTTTATTATTATGAAGTCATTATTAAAGTTTGTGGTCTATCTTATGATAATATCATATCATTATTTATGAGAACAAATTTCTTATAGAGAACATATACTTAAATGCTAGCAACAAAAAAAGTAGTAATTTTAAAAGATTTTTGTATCTTGATATTAGTATTCATATTTTTCTAAAAATATTTAGAATTTTTCTTTTCCTCATTGCATTACTATTGGTTTACTTGTTTTTTTTCTTATTATTTTATTCACAAATAATATTTTATTTGTTGAAAGAATTATAGAACATTTTTATGCAATGCGTTCTTTTTACGTGTTTGATAATAATAATATACTTGATAAAATTGTAGTTTTATATTGTTTATAATATTAAAAAGTTTTGAATTTATTTCCATGTTCTGATAAAATATTAAGTAACTAATTCATGTTTATATTCACAAAAAATACATTTTACAACCATTATGGTGTTCCCTTTCAAGCAATAATTGAATAATAGTTTAACATACAACTGATTTATTTTTTTCTTTTAATTCACATATTTAATATTGGTAATAGTTGTACAATTACATCTAGTTGACTTTTTTCTTAGTATGAATATTTCAAATCTATGTCAGAAAAATATACCACAATTTTATCTAATGTTATTTTATAATTAATAAAATTAATGTAACATGGATCTATAATTATTTTATAAGATTCTTTTAGGTCTATTTATTATTTTAAATTAGTATTGATATATATATATATATTATTTTACATCGATATAAATAATTATATTATTTTTATTTTATTTACAAAACAATGGTAAAATCAAATATCATGTGAAAGAAATAATATGATATATTACATATAAACGGGTTACAAAAAAAATTAAGTATTTCAAAATTAAGAAATTTAATGGTAAAAATTAACTAATTTTTTAACTAAACAATTATGACTAACATACCGATTTCTAAGACAAAAAAATAAATATATTTTTTATAAATTTGCATCTCAAGTATATTTTACATTTATCATTCGCTAGCTACAATTGATATATGACATTTATTAATTTTATTATTTTTTTTTACTTTTGAGTGGAATCTCAGTTATAAGCTTTCTCGTTGGGTAGTTTTACCTTTTTTTATTACGTAGAACATTATTTTTACATCTTGTATAGTATTAATATTACCTTTTCAGTAGAACATCATTCTGACCTCTTCTTTAATTATTATAATACTAGTAAAATATTTAAGGACTTTTCTACTTATATATATATTTTTTTAATTACTAATTATCATAAATTAAATGATAATTACATTAAATATGTTATATTTTGTATCATTATCAACAATTTTCAAAACAATTAACTGCACACAATATTATATATAATGCAAATTTTTTAGTTTGATTTGGAGTCATACTTTTACTACAAGAAAATGATAAAATTCCAATGAAAACATATTACAGTGAAATTTCAAAAACAATTCTAACGAATATTTCAACGTTACAATTTTCGTTTGAGTTTTTCAATGAAAATTATAACAAAAATATTTTGTTGCAATCATGTGCAGATCCATGTTTGTCCAATAGTCCCGAAACATGCATCATCCCAAAACAAATAGCATAAGATATCTAACAAACATTATGAGAACATTTTTCATAATTTTAATCATGTCCTCTATTTAGAAAATAAAATTAAAAGAATAAAGACAAATAATGATTAATTTACAACTCAACCAATCATAATTTAATTCAACTCATAACGTTATTAAATTATAACATCAATGCGGTATTCCAACTAAAGAAAATATGGTATCAAAGTTTACAATTTTTACGCTCAATTTCTCTCTTTTCTTTTTATTCTTGATGATATCTTATTATCTCTCTTTTGCGACATAATTTTTATCTAATTTTAGAAAATATATTTTAAGTCTTTTTTAAGTGTATGTAGAATTCTAGTTATATATTCATAATTTATACATTCATCTATTATATTGTCGAGCCAACTAATTTTATTGTTTAAAATACAACCAATATATATTAAATTTTAGTATATATCATTACGATAAGCATTACGATAAGAATTGAGTAGAGAAATTGGATCGGGTTCAACTAATATCCCATTCGACATGAAAAAAATTGGATCGGGTTTTAGTATTATATAATTTCATAAAATCATTCTAATCTTATTTTACGTAAAGAAATTGAGTAGATTAGAAGTTTAGGTTGCAAAATAATTATTCAAAAAATTATCACTCATATTATTACATAATTTATTCTTTTTTTTATATGTTATTTTGAAAAAAAAAAATATTTATATAATTTTTGGTCGTTATGAGGATAAACAACATCGATTTTAAATATTTTAATTATAGTTATTAATAAACTTGTAAATAAAATAAATATTGTTGAAATAATTATCTTATTTGATAGGATACTTACGGTTAAATAAATTCTTAAATTTTATTGAGAAAATCATAAAAGTATTTAAGAATCTTGAATAATATCAATAAATAAAATATTTTATTTATAAAATTTTGAATTATAAGCGTTTATAGAGCGCTCAACTTGAAAATTAATTGCTCAAATAAAATAAGAATAATAATAATTAAAATGTCATGAACATTTTTATTAATAATTGAATGAAACATTTCAAATATTTTAAGTCTTAATAATTAAAAAATTACGCAACTTGATTTTAATCACCTAATGGTCACGTGAAGATTCGTTAACTCTATTAGCTTTGCGACCAAAATTTGAAAATACAAACCATTAAACAATGACGATTTTTGTGGGATCAAAATTCAATCCAATAAAACTATAGTGCAATCTAATTCTAGTTCTAAATACAAGAGTTTATTTTTCTTAAATAATTATCTAGTTAAATGAATTATTCCATTTTTCTAGTTTGTTAGATTATGTATATATTTCACGTGTGCATGATTTCGGTAATATTTTAGGTATCTTCTCTTAATTAAAATTATGTATGTATCTTGGAAATTATTTATTATATAAAATTTACCCCTCAACTAAGTTATCATATTTTACCAAGATTTATCGTTTTGTTAAAAGATAGGTAAACAAATAGTTGAGAATATTTAGATCTTTTATAAGTATTTATTATGTTGTTTTTATTGCATAATTTTTTGTTTAAATAAATTTTATATATTAAAATAATTAAATATGATTACGATTTTATCATCAAAATTATATTAAAAATAAGGACATTATTCAAAACAAAAATTCAATATCATTTCAAAACTTTGTTGTTTGGCTTAATGTTGAGTTGATTTTGTAAAGATATGGAAGAAAACAGTTTGGGAGATAAGTGGAAGAAATCAAATTCTTGAAGAATAATGGTGTGAATATTGTAGTTGATTTTTAAGAGATGTGGAATGTTTTGTTCATTTAATTGTATAAAATGAATAAAATATTAAATAAGTATTAGTGTATTACTAATTTGACATTAAAAGTATGTCAAATAAAGGGGTTTTAGGTATATATTAGTTATTAATAAAAAAAAAATATAAGATGGGACATATATTATGTTATTACTAATTTTCTATTAAAAATATACCAAAGTAAGGGTATATTAGTTAGTTCTTTCTTTTACAAAAACACTCGTTTTTTATAGTTGTATTCTGAGTTACCATTTTAGTTAGCACAACATTTAGACATAGAATATAATAAAACATTTGGACTAAATATTACATAAGATTATTTTGTAGATATTGTTTACAAGAACCAATTTGTTTTGGTGGACTTCTGTGGAAGAGTTATTTTTTTTCCAACAGCTACTTAGCTAAGAGATCATAACAATTTCTTCAAAGACCACCTCAATCTCCATCATTTTTTAGTAAAATTTAAAGTTATTTGAGTCATACTTTGGGCGTGGATCGTAATAGTGTTCAATGTTACGTAGTTATTTATTTAATTAAATATTAGTGATTAACTAAAAAAATATAAGATTTGAAGAGTATTACTGTATTATTAATTTGCCATTAAAATTAAGTCAAAGTAAGGGTTTTTTAGGTACTTCATTTGTTAATTAAAATATAAAATAAGATGAGTATTACTGTATTACTAATTTGCCATTAAAAATATGTCAAAATAAGGGTTTTTTGGGCTGATCATCATTTGTTAATTAAAAATATAAAATAAGATGAGTATTACTGTATTACTAATTTGCCATTAAAAATATGTCAAAGTAAGGGTTTTTTAGGCTGATCATTATTTTTACAAAATCACTCGTCCTTTTATAATAGTATAGATAGATAGATAGATAGATATAGATAAGTACAAGTTATTCTCTTTTCAGAGAAGGGAAATATTGTTGCTCTGAGAAATTAAAACCTTTCATCAGCAGTGAACTTGGACATCACAAGTCTATAATAATTAATAACTTGTGCACTTTAATTATGAAACTTCTAAAGTGTTCCCCTTGGTGTTTTCACTGTATAGTTATGCAGTAAGAATAATACAAATGTAATCTTCATTCTTGTTTATTTATCACAAATTCATAATGCAGGGTTTTAATGCTACACTGACTGAACCAATCGAAACTCCTGGAAGAAGGGGAGATCAGATCAAAGAAATGGAACTGAAATTGCACCCCGAGCTGAGAGCTCCTCTAACAATGCTTTGCAGTGACCTGAATACAACAATCTTGGTCCTCAGTGGAAGTGATAGAAGTGTCCTAGATGATGTATGTTACCTTAACATCTTTGGCCTCTTTTTTTTTTTTTTTTTTTTTTTTTTTTTTTTTTTTTT